TACTAAAAATGAACACATAAATAATGCTCTAGTAACATTTAAAAAAGGTCTACACACTTAGAAATAACTAATTTTACACGTGACGCAATGCATCTTTGACATAAAATATGAGACGTAAACAAACGTGTCATGTAATATTAAGTGCTCCGAGACTGAAAAGTTCGTTGCTCGACAAAAGGTACGTTTGATTGAGCGATATTTCGCGTCTGTTATGACTCAAATTTATGTCAAAATTGACGCTCGTATATGTCACTCTCAGAGCACCTAAATTTACATGATTTTTTCTAAGTGTGTATCAATTTGTGTACTCAAAACTTGTTAAGCCCTTTTCACGCGAACCGAAGATCGCCCACGCAAACCAACACCACCATCGAGTAGGATAAATTCTCCCCTCTTCCCGATAGTACTTTTAATTTGCGTGAGCGTTCTTTGGTTCACGTGAAAAGGATCTAACAAGTTGTTTATAAAAGTTAATAGGTCCTTTTCTAAAGTTACGCGAGCATTACGTCATGTGTTCATTTTTAGTAAACACGGCACCGCTCAAACGTCAATTTTTTTCGTACAGTTCGTTCTGTGCATTGGTCAATTGTTCAATGGCAATGGTTGAACCATAGACGAGTGCACGGATGGGTTTGAGTTCATTCACTCGACAAAAAGTGACACAACAGCGGGGCCCGGTTTACTAAAAAGGAACACATGAATAATGCTCGCGTAACATTTGAAAAGGGCCCATCAACTTTTGTAAACAATTTGCTAGGTCCTTTTCACGAGAACCAAAGAACGCCCACGCAAACAAAGAGCACTATCGGGAAGAGAAGAATTTTCCTTACCCGATGGTGTTGTTAGTTTGCGTGGGCGTATTCAGTTCGCGCGTAAAGGGCTTAACCAGTTTTGTGTACCAAAGTTGATAGGCCCGTTTCAAATGTTTAACGAGTATTATTCATGTGTTCATTTTTAGTAAACAGGGCCCCGCTGCTGTGTCACTTTTTGTCCAGAGAGTGAACTCAAATCCATCCGTGCAGTCGTCTATCGGGTAGGGTGAATTCTCCCCTTCTGATAGTGCTCTTGGTTTGCGTGGGCGTACTTCGGTTCTCATGAAAAGAACTTAGCAAGTTGTTTACAAAAGTTGATAGGCCCTTTTCAAATTATAAGCGAGCATTATTTATGTGTTCATTTTTAGTAAACAGGGCCCCGCTGTTGTGTCAAATTTTTTGCAGTAGATGAACAAAAGTTCACCCGTGCACTCGTCTATGCTGACGTTTTACTGCACTTTAAAATTAAAATACTCAAACCAGTATTGATTTTACCCATTAGGAATTACACACATGTGGAATCATTTACTCAGACTCACCCGAGCTATAAGGAATGTAATCACAAATTTCTCGTAAAAATTCGATCAACATGGGCATCTAATTCTACGCAAAAGCAGTCAGATATGTAACGACCAATTTAGCGCCAACTAACTGCACCTTCCGATAGACCAAACTTTTCTGTTGCCACTGTGCATTTCCTGGAGTATAAATGTCAGCTACCAGAAAACAGACAATAATGAACTTCCTTCCCCATGTTTGGTGCGACTCGGCAAATATGGAGAAGCAAATTTCATGCATGAATTCGCAATAGTATCCGAGATTTACTCCTTAGAAAATTTGAAATGTTAGTTCGTCGGTGATGGTAGTGCGAGTCAGCCATGCTGCCTTTGATATGTTGACGCTCCTTACAGTCATTGTTTACGCTTAGAGTTATGTTTCCCAGCATTTTTTTTTGTCCACACCAATCTTGTCGGTGTGTAAATCTATAGGAACATCCCTTCAATTTAAGGCACCTTGTCAGAGCTTAAAATTATTGACTACTCAGGATGAGTGCACTATTAAGTTCATTGCTCTATCCAGAACGTTGGTACCCATGGACAAGGCAATGAAATAGCAAACAAAAACATTGCTGCACTCGCGAAAAGGCGACCCACACCGCTTTCCTTCGCTCACATAGTGTGCAATTGAGGCATTTTTCCATAGATACGAAGTCAATGGAAATAAGTAGCAAATTTGTTTATTATTCAGGTTGGAACCAGTTCCAACCCGTGCGAACCCGAGCTTGTTGTCAGTGTGAACCTCAACCCGAGCCAGGTTATAAAAGCAAACGTTTACAGTGACGTTTGACAGACAACAAGCCGACCCAATCTTGATATCCGAACCAGGTTGGAACTGAATCAAAAACCAATTCGCTAAAAGAGTGGGTAGCAACAAGGAATATTAAACGTGCTGATTGAGCTACCGAATGAGTGCTCTGCTGTCAGTGACTTGTTTACTTCCCAATCTTTCAGACTCTCATGAGGCAGTGAATTTTAAAGACGGATGGCTGTTAAATTCATATGAAAATCACTCATTGAATCTAACTGGTTTCAATCTGATGCCTAGGTTTTAAGACTTTGATTTTCCTATAAAACAAATCATCACAAAATCCCTTGAGAGCTTTAGGAACATTATCCCAAAATAACTGCAAAGTACAGCTCTAAATAGAAAACATTTAATATACATATATAATTTATATACACATCCAGGACATGCCACATTCTGTAACAGTTTTGAATGAAAAACCATATCGAAAACATCATATCAAGAAGACCGGCCAGAATCCAAGAGACAGATATAGTCAGTAACATCAGGAACATAGTGATAAAAAATTAGGATTTATCAGGATAGGTATTTAGGAACAGACTTCAACCGCAAATTTTAAAAGTGGTAAGGGGACGGGGGTAGGCCTTAATATTCAGGATACTTCGCAACACAGTGCTTGAGCAAAGGTAGAAGCAACGTGTAGAAATATTAGCAACTACCCAAACTTCACACAGCCGTAGAATTTGACTCCAATTTGAGTTCCAGTTACTGACTTTTGCTTGAATCACGGTTAGTCATGAACTTAGTAAGAATCCACTAGAATTTGAGAAAATTTCACTTATAGGGGAAATGGATGTAATATCGGCCTAAATGCCCCTAATTTGGGCCCATACATAAATTCAGCAATCGACTGAATTTTCAACAACGACCAAAATCCATTAGTACGGTCCCAATGACGCGTTCATCTAGATAAAATTGATAAGGAATGATTCCTCTATCATTTGGTATAGTTTGTTTATAAGATTGACCTTTATCTCATGAGAAATTGGCAATTAACGTCTTTGTATACAAAAGTAATAACGCCCAAATCCCAAATTACTCAGGATTTGTCCAAATTTTGCGCGATGAAGAGTGAAAATTAGTCAAATTCGAGCAACTTTTTACTCATCCTCAGCGAAATTGAGCAGGCATGGAACTCAAATTTGAAACAGATTCAACGACCGACATCTTCTAAGGTTTAGTTTAGAGCAGTAGATAACGCCGTCGTGCCTGTCTCACAGCGGTCGAGAAAACCGGAGAGTTGCCAGTTTTCTTGATATGTTGTCTTCGATCATGTGTCAGCAGTGAGATCTCTTAATCTGTTTCAGTATCGATTTGATTTCGTTTGTTTACATTTCCTAACATATTCAAGGTTCTGTCAATGCACCCATATGAGTAAGTTAATCAAGCTCCCACCTGAAGAGTTCGAATAAACGATTCAAATTATCGAATAACTCATCTACATCAAGTTATTTTTCTACAATGGCTTATTTTATCACTAATTCAAAATCTTAGCGTAGAAGCAGCCAATCGGTTGTGAAATCAATAGCGCTGTTCTTTCCTTTCGAATTACAGCAGTAACAGAATTAGTCAGCAACCTGCCCCTAAGAGCAATTTTCAAAAATAACTACAGCCGAATTTGTTGAACATAAGAAAAAAAACAAGACTCCAAATCACGTTGCCCCTACAAAGAAAAAGATTCTAAAATGTGTCCTTGAAAGCACTTTTTTCTCTCGATTAACTACCAAAAGTATGTATTTTCATCGAAAACAGTTAAAACTTATAGTCAAAAGCAAATCATAAAAGCATGAAGTTTCAAAACTATTGCAATAGTTTGTCTCACAAAGCCAAAAAAAAGCTTGATTAGAGAAACTGAACAACTGAAAAAAAATGAACGAAAATAATTAATCAAACAGAAACTTATCGTTACTGGAGTTGACTTATGGTTAGCTTAAGCGAATGTTTTGATTCTTTTTTTTTTTATTAATCTTAAGGCTTGATAAAATAATTATAGCGTTTCCTCGTATCAGGATAATGTGCGGAAAGATACAGAGAGAGAAACAGACAGGAGGAGTGCGAATTTTCGCACAGAAATTTACACGTCGTTCGTTGATCTGCTTGGTTATCAACTGGTACCAGGTTTTCTTCGGCAGTAGCGGTACGGGAAATGATTTTTTTGTTTCAAACGGACACTTAAACTTAACAAATGTAATAAACTATACAAACATAAAACGAAACAGTACGGAACATCGAAAGAGTTCTTGAGTTACGAGAAGAAGCCGATGTTCGAACGGGTCTCAATAATTTCGGGGCATCATTCATAATTTGCAACTTTTGAAATCCGTTCGAAGCTTTGCCATAAGTAGCTGATCGGCTGATGTGGCTGATTGAGCTCTATTTAGATCCTAGATTTGGCTTTGGCGTTTGTCGAGTTCTAAATTAGCCATCGCTTAACGTAAAGAAATAGAACAAATAAGTAGATTTGAAGCGGTTGGAAATTTACGAAGCAATTTTAGTTTTCTAATACGCATTCGATGTACGTTGCCAATTGTGGTAGCTCTAAAAGATTCACAGATTCCTAAAATTATAGCAGATGGCGACTGTTTTTTTGTTTGTTTCGTAAACGCACTTCACCAGAAAGAGGCCGCGGTGCGTTTGTTGCCTGTGAAGGTTCGATTTGTTTTTCTTATGATACATTATACCTAAATATTGTTTCTGTTTTTTAGTTGAATAATAGCGTACTGATAATGGAAAAATCAAAAATATTCTAATAGTTTTCATATGTATATAGGCCGAGAAAACCGAAGGAGAGAGTGAAAGGGACAATGAAAAGTTGCTACTTACCAAACCGACTAGTAAAAAGAATACTAAAAACGTTCTGCCAAGCACGGTTTCGCAGTAAACATCGCCGTAACCTACTGTTGACATAGTAACTATGAGAAAATATACACACGTCCAGTATGACAACTGTTGCGGGTTATTAAACTCTAACGGATCGCCAGAATTCTCCAGCTGAAGTAGTGTCAAGGCCCATGGTGATGGCGATGATGACGATGATGTCGAGTTTGTGCGATCAGAGAAGAAAATAAAGAAGAAGAAGAATACACATTAGTTGATACTTTTTTTCCGTTCGTAACCAGCGCGACAATTCAAGTTGCTGTAGTAATTGATGTGCCTATGGAATGTAAGATAGTTATATGTATATTACGAAAACTGATAAATTCAAACGTTCTAAATGCATGAACTGACTTCTACTGGTAAAGGCTTGTAAAATGCTGCGGCAAAAGGCTTATAAAATTGGGAATGCTTATCGTATTTATTTCGACACTGGCCTAAGGGTCCAAGATGCAAACTTAAACTAAAACCTAGTTTTAGCAAATTTCTCTGGAATTAAAACTTGCATATAGCAAATCATCAGCGTCATTGTTTTAGGGAAGATGCCCTCTATCTGATTAAATTGCAAGAAATTTGCAGAAGTCATTGTTTACGTTTGCGACCAAGGCCCTTATGAAAAATCAGTGTCGATTTAGTTTGTTAACCGTTTCCAAGCCCGAGCCAAGATTGATTCTCAGTTTGTCAGATTTTACTGGACAAATGCTCGGAAAGGGCTAACTATGGCAGCGATAAAATAAAAATAGAAATATTTTTTTTTAAATAAGATGATTGCTGTTAAACTTGAGCTTGTCCACCTAGCTTTATTCTTATTTTCAAAAACAGTGAAATAGTGTGATCATATGTAACTATTTGTTTTACATGTACAGGGTAAATGTACCAGTACTGGCTATACGTTCCTATTATGGCATTTTGGGAATACCGTATGCCATAATTGGATCGTTGAGCTTTGATTGGTACATCTCCCCTAGAAAAGATTTGATTTGTTTGATTTTAAATGATTAATGATGATTCTGAATTGACCAAATCAGGGGTTAAGGTCCATATAGGCTTATCCAGAATCGGTCGGTAGAAAATTAATAGTGGGAACAAGGTAGTTAAGTCGTTAGGTAAAATTACAATTCACCCACTTTTGCGTATTCGCATCGCCGAGTGTATTGGGTGTTGGTATGTGTTTGTTTTGATTCATGACTGGCAACATACTCACCACTGTGCAACATTTAAATATGTTGTTTTTTTCGTAAATGTCATCCGCAGAGTAACAATGTAATACTTAACAAGCGTCCTTTCAACGATTTAAATTCAGTCTTAATTTGAATAACTGTTGTATCAACCCCGCCAACTTTGATTCAGCTATTGAACACCTGATTTTGGTGACCAGCAAAAACGTGATGCCAACGTTAAGGTGTCAAATAAAATGTGGCCCAGTTAAAATCTGGGAGCATAGTTTATCTTATAGCAGCGCCGGTTCTAGAACTTTTTGACAGTAGATTGTTTTGAAATTGCTTCTCCGATTCACGAAAATTAAAAAAAAAAGATGTCCCACATTAAAGACGAGCGGAGAAATTGATCTTGAACACCCAACGAAACAACGAAAATTTGACGTGGTCAGCTCTAAAAATCGCGAAAACGTAAAAATTTGTCAAATCTCTCGTGTATTATTATGTCTTCAAACGATGTTTTTGTCACAAACACGATGAACCAGAGTTGCCAGGAGTTTATTTAAATATCAGAAAAATAGGGGTGTTTAAGAAAAAGTCGTTAAGTTGATCAAAAAAAATCGTTTGCCGCAAACAACAAGGGGTGGGAGATGAATTATTAAAATTCAGGATAGTTCTTCAAAAATCAGGGTAAATAACGCTTTTATCAATTTATTAGAAAGGGGGAACACTGACAACGCTTCATGTTCCCGCCACTGTTTACCCCTGGACTAGATGGTGTGCCTGGAAAAACGCATTCTACCGTTCATTAAAGCACATAAACTGCCTATAATCACATATCAGTCACAGTTATCACAGTTAGTAGAGGAGAATAATGCAGCACGGGCGAGAATGCTGCAACACCGCACGAGATTGAATGTGGAGCGATACAGACAAAACTCGGTTTTTCGAAGGAAGAAGCCTCAGCAGGAAGCCCGAGATGGCGACGCGATGGAAAATCTATACCGCCAATATGTGCAAGGACTTGGACGGTAACCTTCTCACAAACGAGTGTTAGGCGATTGAGAGGTGGAAGCAGTAATGTGACGAGCACCTCAACGGTGATGCAGGTGAAAATTAAGGTGGCACGGCAACAGACCTTGGATCAGGTGCAGAAGACGACAGGCTACCGGCCCCTGGTTTTCAAGAAGTTGAGGAGGAGATCGCCCGTGAAGAACAACAAACAACTGGTGTAGATCAACTACCAAGTGAGCGCTGCACTGGGTAATTGCCAAAATTTGGGATGTGAAGATATTACCGGAGGAGTGGATAGAAGGTGTCGTATGCCCAATCTACACAAAGAGCGACAAGTTGAATTGCTGCAACTACCGCGCGACACACTGCTGAGCGCCACCTACAAGGTACTCTCCCAAATTCTATGCCGCCGTCTGACACTATTTGCAAGAGAGTTCGTGGGGCAATACCAGGCGGGATTCATGGGTTCCCGCGCTACCACGGACCAAATTTTCGCGATTCGGCAGGTTCTGCAGAAATGCCGTAAATACAACGTGCCCACACATCATTTGTTCATCGATTTCAATTCCAGATTATGCACGAGTACGGATTTCCGGATAAATTGACGAGATTGGTCAAGGCGACGATGGTCGAGTGATGTGCGTTGTTCGAGTATCGGGGACACTCTCGAGTCCCTTTGAATCTCGGCAAGGTGATGGACTTTCGTGTCTGCTTTTCAACATCGCGTTAGAAGGTGTGATAAGAAGAGTTGGGATAGACACGAGTGGCACGATCTTCCGGAAGTCCATCCAGCTTCTTGGCTTCGCCGATGGCATCGACATCTTGGCACGGAACTTTGAGACGATTGCGGAAACGCACATCAGACTAAAGGTTGAAGCTAGGCGGATTGAACTTGTCATCAAGGCATCGAAAACCGAAATACATGAGAGGAAGAGGTTCTAGGGAAGACAATGTTAGCCGCCCACCCCGAATTCAAATTTGACGGTGACGAAATTGAGGTGATCAACGAGTTTGTGTGTTTGGGCTCACTGGTGACCGCCGAAAATGATACCAACAGAGAAATTCAAATACGCATTATGGCAGGGAATCGTGCCTACTTTGGACTATAACATTCGCCACCGCCACCGCACGAAGATGACTATCTACAATACCGGCCTTTATTATCGATGTCACTTACCACTCACGGTGAAGTGTGTACACGGCAATCACTTCACCGTGAGTGACAAGTAGTCACATCACTTCTTTTTCACCGTGAAGTGACACTCGTAATAAGGGCCTATGCTCGTGGAGAACAAGTATAGCTATACCGCAATGCACCGAAATCCAGACACTCGTAAAAGTTGATTATCAAGCCCAAATATGATCCAAATGCCACGTAAATTTTAGAATGATCCTATAGTGTTGTCCATGTTCATCTTACATCATTATTGTGTTGTGAAGTGGATATAATATTTAATTAAAAAGGAAATGTTCGGACAATGAAACACAGTGACAAACTGACATGATACTTAATCTTAACTTTTGCTCGAAAATCTATAACGGTTGATTCAAATGTGCAGCGATCCGATCTGTTGAAACCATAGGATTTTTTATCAAGATAAAAATAATGTGTCCAGCTCGAAAATCGACACGAACCAACTCATAAATGTTGCTCGCGTGTTCGGGCGTTGTCCCTGAACATGGTGACAGATGTCATTAGTGTGATTTGAGCAGAAATTTCATGGTAACTTCTATGGTCATGAATGTCGGATTGTGGTGTCGATGGTTGAATTACTATGAATAATATTAAGCCCTTTACTAGCTTATAAATAAACTTTAGAACAATGCTGATTTGGGGGCCTCAGACAGCCTAGTCGATAAAGGCACAGTATTAACAAGCTGGAAGCAGCGGGTTCGATTCCCGGGCCGTTTGAGGAAATTTTTCGGGTTGGAAATTTTCTCGAATTCCCTGGCCATAGAGTAGTATTGTGCTTGCCGCAATTTCATGAATTGATTGGCAGAGAAAGCTCTCAACGAATAAGACGGACGAATAAAGTACGACACCGAACGTAGTTGATTTTCTACAAAATGCTGATTAGACCGGTAATCCTATACGGCCACGAGACCTGAACTACACTCGTCAAAGACCAACGTGACGTTTTTAAACTGAAGGTGTTGTGTACCATCTTCGATGGATAACGAAATGTGGAGGAGGCGAAAGAACCCCAAATTTCGAAGGGAAAAATGGTTTTCGTTAACGACCCGACTGGAAAAAAACGAAGAGGCACGTGAAGACTTCGCAAACAGCGTGGGCTGTGGACATGCATCCATGAAGCGTGTTAAATGGTTACGAATTCTGAAGGGTAAGGTAAATACAGTACTGGACAAAAAACAGCGTCTCTCCATGAGAAAAAGAACTGTACATCTGCAATTTTACTTGCTGGTTAAATAAGTTTTCTATGTTTTTCAGTTTAACTTGTGAGTAGATGTGCCAAGTCTGTATGAAGTTAGGGTAAATTTAGTAGATCGCCTCTTATTTCATTATCATAATTTAATCTGTTCTTTCTTGAAAAATAGTAGTCAAATAAGAAGCGATTTACTAAAATCACTCTAACTTCATACAGACTAGACCAATCAAGCCACAAATTATTCTGATAAACCTGGAATACTTCATCAACCAGCAGCCAAAATTTTGATTCACATACTGAAAAGTAACAGCTCTTTGAACTTTCATGGAGAGACAAAAAATCCTAGCGTATTATTTTTAATGTCCAGTACTATAGTACTAATCCACATTAGCCTGTTGTTATTCAGCCAGTAATCAGCTTCTGTTCTTATTGTTCAGCTTGCATTGTTAGAGTTAGAGATAGAGAAAAAATATCCCCCTCCTATGGTGAAAGCTTATCACAGCTGCTACATTGTTGCTGCAGAAAAAAGAACGAAATTACTCGGCTCAGACCGTGCCAGGAGCATAAGGCCTCCATCGAGACCGGTGTCACAAATTAGCGAACGAACATACATAGTTAGACATGGATTTCTTTCAAATTTCCTCTTATAAAACAAAATTCGAAGTTCTTAGGAGAGAATATTTAAGCCCATGCCACTCTACTGCATATTAGGACCAGCCAAGTGTCTGGCTTAGTAAATAGAAGCGTTCAAGATCTGGAAAATGTCGGACGCTTGCATACCTGGATATTCTTGCAATCGTTGGCCATCTGTCTGTTCTGGATAATCATCACGATTTAGGAAACCGAACGGCTACCGGTGGACTGGAATCAATGGGTTATATACGCTATTTCTATAATAGAGGGGACAAGCTGGAATTTGAAAACTATCAAGAGATCCCAAGATGAGGAGAAATGCCTGTTGCAAGATATTTGAAGGTTTTGCTTAAACCAAAAGTCATCTTTTTGAATTCCAAAATGATCAGAGATTGATTTAGGGCCTCTACACAACATATCTTTTTCGAAAATATGCATTGTATTGGTTTGCATATGACATCGATATCGTTGGCAGAACATTTGCAACTAAACTTAAACCTGAAGCTGGAACGATTGAGAGGGGGGAGGGGGGTAGTGAATGCGTATAAAACAATGCACAGGCTTATAGGTGGTGATATCGAGCACAACAGGCTGACGCAATTTTATGGCAAACGCAGTATCGCTAAAGCTGGAAGAGTACGACGTATGGGAAACGGACATTCATCAGACCCCATAGATGGCCCTAGCAACACGCCTGCCACAAGCTGGTTGTAGAAATTTCCATACGACTTATGGCTATCATCAGGGCTGTTTCTGACGGTAACGTTAACATCTTCAATGGAAACTCACAGCCTTGGTCTGTTGTTTGCCTCAAAGCCAACCACTACAAGACGCAGAGGAACCAAGCATGGTAGGCGGCTAAACTAAGTATAGCAAGATCAAGGAGGTGTGACTCACCTATAAGACCGATTGCTCTCTACGGGTATGAATCGAGAAATAGACTTGAAGATGGAAACACTTAGAAATAACGGTGTTGAAACGAATATTAATCGACGAGCTCACTCAACGATATTCCACGAATCCAGTATACAAAAAGCTGCGAAATCAGGAACAACACGCTGGGCAGGACATGTTACAAGAATTCCGCACAGCAATTCCGCAATCAGTTCTCTCTCAGCTGTCGGCAGTAGCAGTTGTACCTTTCGGTGTGAATCACGAGATAGTCTGTATATTCGATAGCAGATATTGTTCATTTCCAGCTTTTGTTGTTGCCGTTGGAAGCAAAGTGCATTAAGTAGTTCGATCAAATTCAGCTTCGCCAATCGAAGCGTGGAATCCACCGTATGGGAGAAACTACTAATTTCGTGTAAGCGCTGGATGTGGATTCCGTTCAGATGGAAGCAACTTACCGGATTGCTGAGGAGAAAGCAATTGTTATTAAGATCAAATCGGAAGAATCGATGTTGCATGCAGTGATGTAAAACACGGAAGATTTAATTTACCATGCAAATGGAAAAAACTGTGGAGGTACGCATGTAGCGTGTAGGGGATTACATTCAATGTGTGGGAGTGTATGTTTATCAATATAAAGTCCCCGACAGCATACTAGCGTTGGTCCTAGAGAAATAATTGAAAGTGAAACGTATCATCTAGAAGAAATTCCCTGCGGAGTTGGTGTATATTGTCGGTCAAGTTGGACACCGGAAAACCCCGCACACGACATTCGATTTTGCCCTCGTTCTGTACGTTAAACATAATGTCGGACATAGTGCATATTATAGCACATCATTGTGCGAATACAGCGCACCATATCCAACACTATGTTTAACATACAAAACAAGAATATAAAGGATTGTCGCGTGCGGGATTTTGCGGTTTTAAACTGTACCGATAATACATGGTCGTGATTCCCTCCTCACTTAATTTCCCCAATCAGAAGAGGAATATATGTTATGAATAGAGCAAAAATAAATGCTTCTTATGCAGGACGAAGGGGACCGCCCCAAGTGGAAAGACCCGGAAGGAACCAGAATATCAACACAGGGACGAAGAAAAATATCAAGGCCAGGGAAAAGAACAAAGCAATGACAGCTCGGATAGCAGTGAGTACGCTGTTGTACTGACTGGGGGTGCATCGTTGGCCAGCAACATTAAGAGGTGGTTAAAAATTGACGTGACAACCCCGGAGACCGAAAACGAATCCCATCAGCCACTGAACTACTACACCAACAATGGCAGAAACAGGTAGAGGATCTGGCAAGAGTCGAAGTGTTGCAGACGAGGAAAAAGAACACGGAGAAAACAAAATCAAGAACTGAATTATATTTTTTTAAAGTCATAAGTCACTCGGCTCCGTAGAGCTCTCTGAGACATTCAGCCTATCAATTAAACATGATAGAAGAAAAAAATCAATCCCGTAAAAATGTTGATCACTACGAGAAGCGTACGACAAGACTTGGAGAGCGTCTGACGCAATCGAAAATGGAAGAAGCAGCCATAAATCGAGCTAATTGGGGTGACATTTGTAACCAGGTTTAAAGCAATTAGGAATAATTCCAAAGAAGAAGTCCTAAATTGGTACAAAACGATGTTGGATACACTCGGAAAACTCTTGGAGAGGATCATCCTAACTAACCAAATGTACGGAGAGTGAGCACGGATTGTCGGAGAGGCAGTTCTGATTCCGGAAAGGGAGATGCAATTCGGACAGTGGTCGAGAGAGCCGAGAAGGCATCCAAACAGAAGCGGAGAGGAGATCGATATTGAGCTGTGATAACGATCGACGTCAAGAATGTGTTCAACAGCGCCAGCTGGGAGGCCATCGCCGAAGTGCTGCATAGAATGAGGGTCCCTTACTACCGGTGAAGGATCCTGAGGAGTTATTTCCAGAACCGGGTTCTGGTCTACGAGACAGACATGGGACAGAGATCGATTAGGATCACAGCGGGAGTTCCACAAGGCTCCATCTTTGGTCCAACGCTTTGGAACGGGATGTACAAAAGCGTGCTAACGCTGAAGCTGCCGAAAGGAGCTGAGATCGTTGGCTTTGCGAACGACGTCGTCTTGACCGTAACAGGTGAGACGCTGGAAGAGGTGGAAGCGTTGGCAACCGAGGCGATTGACAGGATTGGTAACTGGAAGCAAGGAGCGAAGCTGCAGATAACCTCCCACAAAACGGAAGTGCTTTTGGTCAGTAACTGTAAATCGGTGCAGCGTGCAGAAATCACCGTCGGGGAGCACGCCATAGCCTCGAAGCGCATGTTGAAATATGTTCCGTTTATTGTAAGATAAAGTTTAGAATCTTAATTAATAAAATAATAGCTCAAAATGCAATTAAAATTGTACTCAGTGTAGTAACACGATTATTATAGCAAAAAGTCCAAACCCCTTTCTGGTTTGAAAACGTAAGCACACACACAAGAAATTGTCTTGCTCATCTCTCGTGTTTGGCACCGTGGTGCGAGATCGTTTTCCGTTCGAGACTACACGAAAGGAGGAGAACGCACGCACACGAACAACGACACCGTGACTGCCGTCTCGGTTCGGAGAAGAAAAGCAGCAATAAAAAAATAATTGTTTTGTGGAACCGCCATAGTGGCATCTGGCATAGCAAGTGGAAAAAGAGGTGCAAAAAGTTCCAGTACGAGTGCCGAGTGCCGATAAAGGAAACGGGTATCAGTAGGTCGGGTGGAAAAAAAACAGCCTTCCAAACCACTTTCAACGTTAACCGCCTGTAGGACGAACCTCACGAACCGACAGAAGACGGTCTCATGAACTGGATGTAGGTCGAACTCGTTTGGTCGAGGAAACTAGCGAGATATTTGCACGTTTTCGGTTAACTTCGGCAGGCATCAGCGATATAACAATCGAAATACGGACGATAAGAGCCGGTCGATTCGGCTGGAAGATGTTCACACGTACCGGTCACGAAACGGACTCTTGGTCAAGAACTCAGCGTAGTCGAAGGTAATTTGCTGCATAAAAGATGGCGACGATGATGCTAACGTGTTCGTTTGTGATTAGACAATTTTTCAAATCGGCTTGAACAACTATCAGTGATCAACCAATCGCTACACGGACCGCTTGGAAGACGACCGGAAGGTAACTGAATTGGAACGAGAAAGAAGCGTCCCAATTCGAGGGTGAGTTTCACGACACAAGTATTAGCTCTGCCTATATTAATAGAAAGCCTTTTCAGGGCGCTTTGTTTTGCCACGGTCTTAAGATTCGAGAAATGCGGGAAGGACAACGGACGTCGACGGAATTGGACCACACGACGGTCAAAGACGGAAGTACGACGAGGACCGACTACGGAGGTCCATGTGACGGCAAGCGATTGGACCGCTCGACGGTCAAAGACGGAAGTGCGACGACGACCAACTACGGAGGCCCGTGTGACGGCGAACGATTGTACCGTGCAGCGAGTGACCGGCAGGACGACGGTCTCAAACGGAAGCGTACGACGACGGCTAGCAACGTACATTCGTGGGACGACGACTTATCGCGATCGTTCGTCGAGTTGCCGACCAAACGACGGCGGGAAGCTGGTGAATCGCGAAAGCTCGTACGTCGACGAAGCTCATGGGAGCCCCGAGGTCATGCAGTAAGCCACTTATGGGGTGTTTACACTTATGCTATTTCACTAGCGCTAATGAGCCAGCTGCTAGCAAAAAAGCTCAAGCATAATGAAAACAGGGCATCAGCGTCTACCAGCATGAGATTTCAGAAGCAACTGAAATTAGTGCTAGTTGGCTAGTACACTAGCGCTGACAAATCGTCACAGATGTAAACACCCCATTAGCGGCAATATCGATAGCGAGTAGGAGAAAATAGCTGGGAGTACGTTCCTATATACGTAAGGGGTGGACGCTCTGCGACGCCGAAGAAAAAAGAAAGAGGTTCGACGTTCCGACTCATGACTCATTATCCAGAATCCAAAAGACAAAAACAGTAGCACTTAAGCAAAGGCAGAAGCAACTCATAGAAAAATGACTCGTTTTTTTCTTCTAACTTGATGGATTCAGCGGTCCCTTTCCTTCATCAATCTATCTTATCAGTATTTGGCTCTCAAGGAAATCAAGCGCCATTGCAGATGGTACAAGCGAGCGTGAATGATTCCCTGGTGGACGAAGGGGAGAAAGCAGCAACAACTGGCGATATTCGACTCCTCTACGATATATCACGACGGCAAAATTATCCTAAATCGAATACATTAGAAGATCTTCACGACTGTCCTGCGACAAGATTCCTTGCCCGAAGATATGATATGACCATATTGTCACGCTCCATATTATCCTGGAGCAGGTCAACGAATTGTTTGGTATTCATTGACTACGAAAAAACTTTCGATCAACTCAATCGCGAGAATATCGGGGCCATCCTGAGGCGCATGCGGGTCCCACATAAAATCGTCAACCTCGTTGATGCGCAGTATGTAGCTTTCACGAGCTGAGTCGTGTATAATGGATCCTTGTCCGACCCTATCTGGATAATCACTGATATGAGGTAACGATGTATACCATCACTACTAATGTTTCTCACCGTAATCGAAGAAATCATGTTACACCGACCATTAGGGTGATTCATTTTGAAAAAAATAAATTAATTTCTGATAGGTCACTCTCCAGCTCAATGTATAACCTCCAAAATATGAAGAGAGGTTTATGAATCGAACTGGAGGGTGGCCTATCTGAAATTCATCACTTATTTTTGAAATGAAGCACGCTACTGACCGTGTTTCGAACCAAGGGCGGCTTTGATTCGATTGACAGTCGACAGTATGCAATATCTTGAATTCCTGCCAGAATAGCGTCAGAGAGCTGGACCAAGAGCGACACAGACGCACAAACCAAGAAGGCTAGGGCTGCCTTTGTAAGGTTATGAAACATTTGCAGATGAGTCAGCCACGTACAGTTACTACAAGGTGGTGGAAACGAAAGCTACAAGCAAGTGCTGGATTGGAACCCGGCAGGATGTCGCATCAGAGGCAGACCCAGGGGCTGATAAAGGTGGATCCTCAACAATAAAATCAAGCAAGTCGATAGGAAATTGACCTGAGCCCAGGGTCAAAGCAAAAGCAAGAAGACGCGCAGCTGCTCGAGTGAGTGAGTTAGAGTAAGTTCCTCAATACTTTGGACGCGCTGGTCACATTCAATACCACCGGTTGTGTTTAAATGTGCAAAAACCAGAATTTATCCACGTATGGTGGAATCTGACCTTTCTTAAGTATTGATTTCATGTGTCGTGTGATGGGTTTTGGCCCTCGAAAAGAACTGTAAACTACCCAAGGTGCACCCAGAACATGTCCAGATGTGTCTAATGTGATCCTGGGCAGGGCACTTATTTCTCATGTGATTTTAGGTGTCGCATGATGGGTTTTGGTTCAAGTCAAAAACTGCCCACTCCCCCTGGGGGTCCCGGAACATGTCCCACTGTATCCAATTTGCCCCTGGGTACTTTATTTATCCACCATTGAACTTATTTTAAAGTGTCATGTCTTTTGAGGTGTCGTACAATGGGATTTGGACCAAGTCAGAAACTGGCCACTTATCCTGGGGTAGCCGGAACATGTCCGGATACAGTTTCTAGACTCACGAACCGTATAAACCGGATTATGTTCCGACCATATCTTCTGAAACAGTTGACCGATTTCAAAAATATTTGTTCTATGGGTCTACAATACCTTTCGTTTGGTGGCTGTTGCGTCCAATTCGGTCCAGTGGTTGGAGAAACAAATCGGCAAAAAATGTGTAACACACACATATATTACACTTGGCTCTCTGGGCCTCGGACCGAAAGTCGATTTTCCAAGCAATATGTATACCCTTTTCAGTAAGAAGAGTAGATTTTACTGAAGGTGGAATAATTCAAGAATTTACTGGTTAAATTTACTTTGATGCATTTTCTAAAAATGTCCATCCATTTTGTTAAGACGTTTTATTTCAGATTGCTAAAAGCTCGCGTCTTTTTGTGTAAAATGACATAAGGAATGTAATGACGAGAGCTTTTGCGATCTGAAATGATGCGTCGAAAAAAGAGCTCGGACACTTTGTTGTTGCGATTGTACGAAACGTCCGTTGAAATACAGTATACGGTCCAATTCACATTCCCCGATGGAAGAGCATAACCTACAATGGGCGAAACTGTCAATTTTGTGAAAGCACTGGATGCGAATGAAAGCAGCTTACCGGAATGCAGAAGAGAATAAAGTTCATGAAGGTCAAGTTGGAAGAATCAATAACTCGAAATATTAAATTTTCCATTACGATAATGGAAAGGCAGTGTACATGTCGCGTGCGAGGGTTACTTTCAATATGCCCGAGCGGGTGACTTGCCATTTGAAGTTCCTGGCCGCGATCTAGTGGTGGTGCTGGAGAAATGCGGGAAAGTGAAGCGTGTCACCCGAGGTAAATTCCCTGCTAAGTTGCGCTTTGAAATGTATACTGGGGACGGAAATAATTCTATAACGGTATCCAGAATAAGTTTATGCATATGGAGGGGCACAGGATAAAACGCACCCCTGGGGTAAAATGGCCCCGTGTTGTTTTTGATAGCTTTCCGGTTGTCATTTCGTAAATGTAACGAGCAGCATTGCTGGTTTAGTACTTGAAGTAGCATTCCGGAACATAAAATCCCAGAATTAATATTGGGAAAGGAACGAAAAACCACACGGGGCCATATTACCCCAGCGTCGCATTATGGACTGTTCTCCCTTTAAGTACGCTGATGTAATGACTGGGAGGTGTGTCGTTGAACAGCAACGATAAGAAAACAGTGGAAGCGGATGAAGTGCTTTTAAAAGAGGTGACTAAGAAGAACAGTGGAGCGATGCCCAGAAACAGCAGCTGCCTGTTTTCTAGATTGGAAATGATTACTTCTTCAAATTTGGAACTGTAGATGTAGCGGAGAAGCAGCGGAAATAGGACGAATAAGCGGGCGTTGGAGAAGGATACGCGTATGGAAGAATTAAGAATGTTGCGGGCACGAAAAAAAAAAGTTTTTTATATAATTCTTGCCTTATTAAATAGACGAATTGGGAAAACAATTAACTCTACCACGTTGTGCTTGCAAAGAGAGCTAAACATGTAATATTTAAAAAAAATGCTTGAGTCTCGTGCACCAACTGCACTATCCCCCAGGGCCCCCCAATAAGATAGTGTTGTTGAGTTTCCAATCACGAGAAATCCACGACTAAAGCCTTAGTTTATGATCTAAACTTTTCCTTTTATTCAGTTATTTCGGGATTGTTCCCCATGGGAAACACGATTCAACACGAGATATAATCTGCGGCGATTGTATATGTTTACTTGGTGAGACACCAATCATGCAATCAGGTTCGTCTCTAGTTTTGTTTGAGTAATAATAATAATATAGAGTCACGTTGGATAAGTTTATTGTAATTGTAATTCAAAAGAAAACGATTTGTGAGAATGAAAAAGAAGGGATATTTTAAGCGTATAAAGTTCATGCAGCTGAAAATGGAAATCGCTTTACCAATAAAAATAAAGCCAAACGGTTTTGCAATAGTTGGGAGGAAACATAAAAAAATGGAATAGCCAGAAAAATGTTGATGTAAATTTAGTTAAGGTGCAGTCTCAAAATAAATACCTAATACTGAATAGCTTTAAATTATATCGATGTTGATAACTGGGTCTCGCTAGATAAAGATAATTCGCAATTCATTTTCAGAACAATGCTGTGTAACCTGCGTGTAATAATACTCTACTCAGCATCAAAAGCAAATCAAAAGAATATCTCGATAACAACCAATTGTTCGGTACAGAATAAATCATGATGGTTTTAAACGAAAGGAGGAACAGCAAACTCAGGGGTTCGGGTTTGGATTTTGAAAAACAAACATATTGAATAATTTATCCTTAGCTAATTTGCCTTCTAACAAGCCCTGTGATTATTACTTTGCCAAAAAAGTATGCTTGTATCAAAATGTCAGCTACCAGTAGTCGAAAAATAGTAGTTATTGGAACGATACTCACCACCAACACGATACTTTCATTTAAGTGCTCATATTGAAATTGGATTGAACTCACGAAATTATGCTAAAATTCAGCACAATCGTACTGAGGTTTACTCTGGCATTGAGATCAACGGACAGTTGCGCTACTCCACGGTTGGGGCAGAGAATTTTCCAGCGCAACTTCCGAAGATGAAAGATTTATGCTAAAATTTAGCATAATTGTTCAATCGGAACTTTGTGTACTTACATACGCCGTAAGCATCAGGGCGTTTAGCTATTACATGATATTTTACCAGCCAAACAGTGGCTGGTATATGCTTAAAGACAGCTTTCAAGGCGCTTGGCATAATTTTACGGCATAATGAACGTAGCACTATGCCGTCTTAGTGATTGGCATTTCAGCGTTGGAATTTTACTGACTGTGACTTCTGATTAAAACTCTACGTTCGAATACAAATGGGGACCTAGTTCTTCTACGCATTCTAATTTGGACAGGGGCTCTTTGTTTTGATTTTCGAATCATTTCTTTTTTTTTTTTTTTGCTTAGCCAGAAATTCACTACACCGAGGTCGATACTCACCAAATGAATAATTCCAGCAGCTGTTAACCACACTGATATAAAAATTGATACTAATTGTGCCAAACGTATTGAACTAGATGTTTTAAGTATATTCAAATATTGTAATATATCCGGGACAGTCATAAGACGTAGCGCTCGTAGGAAACGGAGACCTAAAACAAAATGAGATACGATTAGCATCCGTCGGTCGTCTGGGGGAGGGAAGTAAAATGATCGCAACTCACCGATCCATGTCCGATCTAAATATATTGACACAAAGGACGGGGGTATCGTAAAATAATCTACAAAACTGTACATCTCTAACATAAACCAAAGCTTATCGGACGCTGCTATAAACTGCAATGTGAAAGCGTACGAAAGAATCAGTCAATATCGACAGGGGTCCATCGGCGAAGTAAAACACTTACTCGTATAAAAAAGTAAACCATAAAAAATATGTTGAATGCTAGATCAATTTGCTGGGTGATGTTGTTGCTCCACTTTTGACATCGTTCGACTTCTTCGCTCGACGCGTCTATAAAGTAGATGATGAGGGATGCGATGCTAAGGATGAATACGAGTACAACCTGGATGGCGGGGGGAGAGGAAAGATGGAGAAATATCAGTCAATTGCGCGTCTCAAACGCTTTCTGTACTAGTCTGGAGCAGGTTTGTGGCAACAATTTTAGTATGGATGTATAGTTTGTTTTAATTGGGTTGGTATTTGCACTCTTAAACACCTACATAGGAAAAATCATATAACAATGACGTATGACATATAGAATATATAACGTTTCATAACGCCTGAAAATGTATACAGTTTCTAACTAGCGATCGATTTTCTCAGAAGATGCAACATTGATGAGTTCAACTTTTCCAGATTATTATTTTGTACGAGAATCGAGAACTAGTATATGGGGGACAGTAGGGAATAATTGATCAGTGGCGATACTTGGTTCCCACAGGTTATTTCCATGGTGGTGTATAGAACACATGCTGCTGGGTTAGACGGACCTCAAAATTAAACCATTTTCGAGCTGTCAAATCGAAACATTTTTTTTGCTTCCCCGGTATGAACCATTATCTTTATGGGGATGTAGTGAAAATAAAAGCCATTTTTTCCAAAGCATCAAAATCAATCTCTCTTCCTTCTCTTTCATGAAATTGTGAACGTAAACAAACAATGGAAGAGTAACGATTGGGCTATACGTAAAATGCAGTTTGTCGGCATTTGCTGTGAACTGATGGCGATGAATCGATTATTTCAGCACAGCCAACATTAAAAAAAAAATCACTCCGCATCACCCAAATGATATGTATTGTTATGTTCACAATGTTAACAATCAAAACAATGTAACATCACAATAACAGAGAATACTCCTCCCAATGGATATTCGACTTCGCTAAAAAGGTTTGTCCAGATTCTGTTCCAGCACAACCAACTTTACGGGATACAGCCCGAAGTAACGGTTCTCTGGATGAACCATTCACAATGCTGGAATTTTCAATGGCACTTCTTTCATCGAATAACTCTGCTCCGGGAAGCGATATGATCAAATTTGACCTTCTAAAAAATCTCCCCGATATCGCTAAAAGAAGATTACTTAACCTATATAATTCATTTATGGAATTCAATATAGTTCCACCAGCATGGAGACAGGTTAAAGTAATAGCTATTCAAAAGCCTGGGAAACCAGCGTCTGATCACAATTCTTACCGTCCGATTTCTATGTTATCATGCCTGAGGAAATTATTAGAAAAAATGATCCTATTAAGACTTGACCATTGGGTTGAATCAAACAATCTACTTTCAAATACGCAATTTGGTTTCCGGAAGAGTAAAGGAACAAACGATTGTCTAGCGATGCTTTCATCTGATATTCAACTGGCCTTTGCGCACAAGGAGCAATTGGCTTCAGTCTTTTTGGATATTAAGGGCGCCTTTGATTCGGTTTCCATAGACATACTGTCAGACAATTTGCACAGTAGTGGATTACCCGGTATTTTGAATATTTTTTTGTATAATTTGCTGTCAGAAAAACAAATGACCTTCAATCTAGGTCAACTGACAACTTCTAGAATTAGCGACATGGGCTTACCCCAAGGTTCATGTTTAAGTCCCTTACTTTATAATTTCTATGTCAAAGATATTGATAACTGCTTAGATAATCAATGCACGCTTAGACAGCTTGCAGATGATGCCGTTGTTTCCATGAGAGGTCCACGTGCAGAAATCTTGCAAAGACCATTGCAAAATTCCCTAAATAATCTGTCTCTCTGGGCAAGAAATTTAGGGATCGAGTTTTCACCGCAAAAAACTGAATTGGTAGTGTTTACAAGGAATCGGTTTCCAGCCCAACTGCGTCTAAATATTTTGGGCAGAGACATTACCCAATCTTTAACCTTCAAATACCTCGGAGTCTGGTTTGATTCAAAATGCACTTGGGGTACCCACATTACGTATTTGAAACAAAAGTGTCAACAAAGGATCAACTTTCTACGATCAATTTCCGGGACATGGTGGGGTGCTCACCCGGAAGACCTCATTAAACTATATAAAACGACTATTCTTTCAGTTCTTGAGTATGGCTCTTTTTGCTTCCACTCGGCAAGAAAAAGCCACCTAATCAAATTGGAACGTATTCAATATCGTTGTTTACGTATTGCCCTTGGCTGTATGCATTCAACACACAATATGAGCCTAGAGGTCCTAGCGGGCGTAAAACCCCTGCAGAACCGTTTCTGGGAGCTCTCATTAAGAATATTGATTAAATGTAGTGTCAGTAACAACCTTGTGATTGAAAACTTCGAAGAAATGCTCGAATTGAGCATCCAGTCTAGATTCGTGCGAATCTATCTTAATTATATGTCATCGGATATTAGCCTTCCTTGCTATAACCCCTCTCGTGTATGCTTTACTAACTACAGTTTCCCCATTGACTACGATCTCTCCATGAAACAGGCTATTCAAGGTGTTCCAGATCAACTTCGACCTATCTCAATTCCCCACATTTTTGCTGAAAAGTACCAACAAGTCAATTGCAATAGAAGATTTTTCACTGATGGATCACGCATTGATGGATCCACTGGCTTCGGCGTCTTCAATGAATACTCAACCGCCTTCCGGAAACTTCAGGAACCTTGTTCCGTTTATGTTGCTGAGCTAGCAGCAATCAACTTCGCATTGGGGATGATTTCCGATATTCCCATAGACCATTACTTCATCTTCTCGGATAGTCTCAGTTCGATTGAGGCTATTCGGTCGATGAAACAAGGTAGGCACTCATCTTATTTCCTTTCAAAGGTAAGGGAACAGATGAGTTTGCTGGTCGAAAGATCATATATGATTACCTTTGTATGGGTCCCCTCACATTGCTCAATCCCAGGCAATGAGAAGGCAGACTCTCTCGCAAAGGTGGGCGCACAACAAGGCGAGATTTATGATAGAAGAATTTCACATGATGAATTCTTCCCATTAGTACGTCAGAGTTCTCTTTTAAGTTGACAAAACGATTGGACAAGTAATTCTCTTGGGCGGTGGTTACATTCCATTATTCCAAATGTTTCTTCGAGAGCGTGGTTCAAAAGTCTGAATGTAAGTCGGGGATTCATTCGAGTGATGTCAAGACTTATGTCCAACCATTACTCGCTAGACGCACATCTCTACAGAACAAACCTCGTTGACAGCAATATATGTAGGTGCAGAACCGGTTATGATGACATCGATCACGCAGTTTGGTATTGCCCGGGTAATGACGCCTCCAGAGCACGACTATTGGATACCCTAGTGGCCCGAGGTAGACAACCCTTCCGTGAAGTAAGAGATGTATTGGGAACACGTGATCTTCCCTACATGCAAGCGATCTACGAATTCCTTTGTTTGTCTGATGTTAGAGTTTGATGTGACTATCCCCTCCTTTCCAAACAATTTCCCGCCATTGTGTCCCAGTCTTATTATCCTCCTGTTCCTGTGATACTTGCCCCTGCCCAGTCAGGATTTGGTCAACCGTCCGAGAGTAGTATCTGAAGGAGGCTTCAGAAACCAGTTTCCTACCTAGATCCTTCCAATTGAAATTGTTACCCATTACCCTCGAGCCCGCCACGAGGAATTGGTACCCAATTCTAACCTAGAAATACTGCTATTTAAAATATAAATCAAACATTACTGATTTTGGCTCCGCAAAGTGTCACACACGACTGAGCCTAGTAAATAAACGAACTAGTTAAAAAAGAAAAATCACAATAACACGAATCAACATTATCAACTGATGGAGGATTGTCACCTCTGTCTGATGGTGTTGTTACTTTACATGATTTAATGGTAACTTTTCATTACGTCGAAAGTAACAAAGGTAAACAAAGTCAGTGTCAATCGATGCTTATGCTATTACACTATATACTGTTCGAATATAGGATCACATCCCATTTTTATATTTATTTAAAAGTCAAATTGCTTTTTGACGTAATCACCTTTCGATCAAAACATTTTTCGATGTTACTTAAGTCACCCGATTTCTATGGAGAGGCCGGTTGTCTTAAGTAACAACCCGTGAAAAGTGTACTGTGTACTTTCTAATTATTAAAGTGAATAAATCGAACTGTTTATTGCTAAGATGATTTCGGTGGTCCTAAAATGATGAAAGGGCTGCACGTAAGAAGACGTGATTGATAATTCTCCCGACTATCCTGGTAAATACACTTTGACTTAAGTAACATTAGGGGGCCTCCAAACGACGTATAATAACTTTTGGCTCAAAAACCAGTATTTATTAGCACGAAAGCTAGCGATCTGCATTGTATGATTAAAACCCTGCTTAATATGTTAAACATTGCTATCACTATGAGATTATATGTGTTTAATTGGAAATAGGAATAACTTTTCAGTCATCAAAACAAGACCTTATTTTTCTCGGATCAGTGCGAATGTTACTTTCGACATAATGAACATTTGCTCTTGATATCTCCGATGGAACTATGAAGTGTCCCAGAATGTCTGAGCATGATTTTAAAAAATATATAATATAACTCTGTTTACAGCAAATTAGATTTTTATTTCGCATTCATGTTCTCTAAAGTATTCTCTTATAGTTCATCGTAGAAAATCCAAAATCAGATCAGTCGTAAGCCAATGAGCGAATTTTTGATCTTACGCTACTCATTAGCTGCACTTTTTCCTAGCCTGTTCCAAACGTTGTAACGGAATCCGCTGCCTTTACATGTTTTCGCAAATATGCTTTGGTCAGGGCCCAGAAAGTTTCGATTGGCCTGGCCTGGGGACAGTATGGCGGATTCATCTCCTTGGGTAAGAATTAGACCTTGCTGGCTTTATACTAGGCTATCGTGTCCTTGGAGTAATGAACCGACGCCAAATCCGACCAAAACAGTACTGAGGCGTCATGTTTGCGGATCATGGGTAACAGACGCTTATTCAAACGCTCACGCACGTAAACACCGATTGTCATTGTCTCCGTTGTCACAAAAGGTTTGGAAAGCATACCACACTCACGAACGGTGTAGTGCTGATCACCTGGAAGAGCACACCGATTTTCCACACAGCAATCGGTCGTATAACTTCCGAGCCCTCGGT